AGATACATGTTTGAATGAACAGTTGAATTTTATATTATTAAAAAAAATATATAAACAATAGATATAGAGCTTTATTTTATAGAGGTAGTTGAACCTAGCTATGGTCAAGTTACTGTAACTCAAGCATGGTCTAGCTCGACCGGAGAAGTTCCATCATCTCATAGAAGATGGGCGTGAAGTAGTCTTTAATGGCTGCGTTTCGTCCGATGAGTGAGAGCCGGTTACCCTTTCCCTTTTCCCATTGTTTCCTACCCCTTCCCTCTTTCCCAATTTTCCCTTCCCCTCTTCCCTAATCACGGGTGGCGACACATCCGTGACATAAAAACTGTTGCAGATGTCCATGTGCGACGGTATTACCACCATCAGGTAGGCCGTCTGCTCGATTGCCCCCTTGCACAGGAAAAAGAAAATATTTTGTTTTTAGTGTTAAAATTTTAAACCCTGTATTTTGTTATCTCTATCAAACATAGGAGATGTACCCACCTTAGATGTTAAAGCATTGACACTAAAATGAAAGTGAGTTTTTGCACACAGCAAAACCTTCACCCCCCTTTTTTTGACCCCCCTATTGAAATTTTAGTATAAAGTCCAAATTTCATTGCAATTGTATAAATAATGATATTATATCACTTCAAAAGAAGTTGTTTCCCATGACTGATCCTGTGATGCTTTAAAACCCCAGTCAATTGTAAAGAAAACATTTATCTATTTCCTAATTCACAGAAAGAAGCTTACTATCTTTTATAAACACTGTTTACTTTTTAGAAACTTTTAATTATTAAACAAGTTAAATTCTTTTGGAGAGTTGTTTAAAAAACTTGAAATTTGAAATAATAAAAAAATTTAAGATTATAAATCTTTTAACATTTAATTTTTTTGGCTTATGACAAATTGTATGTACCTACTTTAAATTTATTGTATTAAAATACTCTCAACACAACAATTTTTATTGAAATTAAAATAATAAGTGTTTTAATTAAAAGCTGCTAATCGTTTTTTTTAATATAAATAAAAATTAGTTTCAAAAAAAGGCTAACATTCAAACAAAAAATAAATGCTAAGTTTCACTTAGCTCCCTCTCATACACCCGATATATTTTTTTTTATTTTTTAATCTAGTATACAGGTAAAACTTTAAATTAATAAAATTATTTATTTCTTACATATTCTTGCAATGAATGTAAAGAATTGTATAGCAGAGATTCTAACACTGTGGCTCCGGAAAGCGATCAATGTAGAATGAATTCAGTACCACTATGCTTGGAGTTTTATATGATAAATTCTGTATTACAATTTTAGGTACTTGAATAAAACTAATCACCCAATATGTTACTAAAATCATTTACATTGATGAAGTAATTTGAAAACAATTATTATAAAGAACTCTTTTTTTTACATTTTGTATTAATTAATTAATCTATTTTTCTTCACATATTACCAATACCTGTCCTTTAACAAGCTTTGCTTATTTTATTTAAAATAATATATTATAATAGCTGTCCTACTATTGCTACGTATCTATTTAAAAAAACGATAAAATTTATTTCTTAAAGTTTTTTGTCTGACTCTACTTTTTCTTTCACTAACAAAATTGTAAAACTCAGCTTTTACTAAGCTGAGAAGTTTACTAACCTACTTACTTCCCACATTGAGTAAATAATTGAAATACGACGGAGCTTACGAAAATTATCAGTCTTCCATTTTTATTATTTTAAACTTAAATTTTGTAAACTTAATCATAAATAATTATTACTTAGATACAGTCATAGGTACCAATACCTATTATGATTAAGTATGTTAAAAGATAATATTTCTAATATACAAATTTTAAACATATGTATTCATTGATTAGACTAAAATAAAATCATGGGGCACATCAAAATATCTACAAATGTCGATTAAAATGTTCGTTTTGTAAAGCAACAAAACAGTTTAACGTAAAAAAAAAATATTTTTATTTTCATGTTTTAGTTTTATTTCTTATTCTATTTAGTTTATTTAAGACCTCATTATTGCAATGGTCTTGGCAATTAATTTATTTAATTCTAATTCTTTGATAAATATTCCTCCAAACATTATATCTACTGGAATCCACGTAGCTCGACTTTCCTCAAATATATTCGCGTCTAAGTACACTAATTCTGCTTTATGTACAGTGGTAGTACATGCATGCCTGACAATTGACAATTGTACTTTTGAAGCCCTCTTCTTTTGATATCCATATCATATAACTTAATGTGTATACCTAGAAATATACAGGTTTACAGTCAGTAAATACAAAGTACCTCTTATGCAGCGCTTCATTTTTTTAAATATAATCATAGTGCTAAATTTTGCAAACGTATATGTTTATTGAAGAAACTTGGCTGAAGGATGGAAATAGATTTAGGACTCCCAACTACAATATGATAAATCAGAATGGTGTTAATGGCTGGGGAGGAGTTGCTATACTATTAAAAAATAGTAAATATAAATTTTTATGAATACTTACAATCCATGGCAATTGTTTTAAAAACAGACTTTGGTGAATTATCGGTTCTCTGTGCTTACAGCCCTCCTCGAGGTGGTAGATTTAAGTGTAGGAGACTGAAACAAATAATTGATAATTTAATAATGCACATGTTACTGGCAGGTGATTTAAATACTCATCATGACATGACATCCCAATACTAATTGGTATGTCTTTCCTCTAACTCAAGAGGCAGTGATGTTTATAATTTATTAGATGAATATAACTTATGTATTCTTAATACAAGAGCTTACACTATGTACTGTAGGTAATATATCCCATAACCAGTCAGCTAAAGACATTACTTGCGTCACTCAATCCATAGCACCTTCCTCCACTGGAGATTACATGATGACCCAATTAATGGGTAGCTACCACTATCCCACTATTTGTGACATTTACCTAAAAGCAGAAAAATATGAAGTCAATAATTCCTCTGACCGTTATTTGTACAAAAAAGCAATTGGACTTTGATCAATTCTGAAACAAGAAAAGCTTTTAAAGAATTTACTATTACCACTTCAGATCCACATTCATACTATGATACACTTATTAACATTTAAAATATTGTTTAAAGATAAATGTATACCAAAAGTCAGTCAATTAGCCCAATACATCATTAAAAAACCAGTACCATGGAGGGAAAATGAATGTGCAAATTCTGTAAAGAGAAGTAAATATGCACTTAATTATTAAAGACCGATGCCTAGTATAGAAAATTTTATAAGATATAAAAGTTTGGATGCTATTAAGAAAAAACTACTTAGGCAAAAGAAGAAGAATAGTTGGAAAAGTTTGTGTGAGACATTTAATCGCAATACACCTGTTTGTGTTATTTGGAATTATATAAGGAGATTTAAACACATACCATTTCAGAAACATAGTAAAGATGACAGTTGGATGACTTAATTTTAGACAAATATGCTCCTTTAACGCCACCTGAAAGATATATTGCAGAAACAAACTTAAATATATTTTTAGTAATGTTGAAAATCCTAAAGCTGTCTTTTTATAGAATTCTTTTTCTATTCATGAATTTAGTTTGGCTATCAAGTCTGGCAGGGACACAACCCTTGGACTTGATGACATACCATATAAATTAATAAGAGAGATGAACACTGATACTCAAAATGTTTTATTAAAAAATTTAACTTGCTTTTTGAAACACAAAATATACCAATTACTTCGAAAACTCAGTGTGTAGTTCCAATACTTAAGCCTAACAAGCCAGGTTCCAATACTTAAGCCCAACAACAGTTTTAATTCTTATAAACCTAGATCTTTATCTTCTTGCATAGGAAAAATGCTTAAAACAAGATTTTACCTACTAAGCAGTTTGTTTCGTAGAGGCAGAGGTGGTTCTGACAATTTTATAACTCTTATCAGTGACATCAAGGATAGTTTCTATAATCACTCAGCAACAGTATGTGCCTTTCTTGGTGTCCAAGGTGCTTTTGATAATCTCAGCCCTGCTGTCCTTGTGCAAATCCTATGTTAGATTGGAGTCCCGGGTAAAGTCTGTGAATGGATATTTAAATTTTTACATGAGTGAACTATGTACATAAAATTAATAACAATCTTCATGGACCTACAACTATATACAAAGGAACAATGCAGGGAGCTACTACTTAAAAGCAGTAAATGTTAACTTCCTTCAGTTCGCAGATGATCTTGTTATATTTAGTGTAAATAAAAATGTAAATAAAAATGTAAATATCACCATGGTAATTGAGAAGAACCCAGATAGCAGAAAGATTTTGTTTAAAGTTGATTTCTTTAAGCAATAATGTTACCTTAAGCCATATTTTACCTCCCTTTTACAATTTAATCAACAGTAAACCATACATGGACTATAACAATTGATTTCTGGATTTTCACCCATGTTTTTAAGAATTATTGTAGTTATAAAATCTGTTTTTGTAAATATGTACATAACCAATTTATATCTAATGTATGGCTTAAGTTTCAGTGCCTTAATTCACTCAGTAAATATTAATAATAACAAAATACTTACTCAGCCGAATCTCCTTCAATTTATTGATGACAATAATGGTGTACCGAATTTACACTGATGGGTCTAAGAGCTCAGATGGTGTAACATCAGCACTTTACAATCCTCAACTGAAAATTTCAAAATATTTTCAAATTAATGATAATTGTACAATTAACACAACCGAATGTTTTGAAAGCTGTAGAACGTGCATGTAATGTTAATAAATTTCATATAATTATATTAACTGATTCTCAAAGTGCACTTCTCGGTTTGGAAAACACTTATCTGAAATATAACACTAGATATATTCTTTATGAAATTAAAAAAAATGATATATGATATGCACATTCATAGTAAAGTAGTACAATTTCAATGGGTACCTTCACATAATGGTATAACTGGAAATTAACTGGCTGATCAGGCCACTAGAGGACGCGCGATGAAAATCACAGCAACTCAATGAAGACACCATTTACTGACTTTTGACTACACATTCACCATGGCCCTGAAATCATTATACAAAGAGTACTGGAAGACTGTAAGCAAAGAGAAAGGAGCATGGTACGCAGACATAAAGAAAGCCCCGCCCGCCCAACCTTGGTATAACAAATTAAAGCAGTATAACAGAAAACTTATAGTTACAATCAACAGACTGAGGCTCGGCCACTGCCGAACGCCCAGTCATTTATATAAACTGCAATTGGTACAAAATCCTACTTGCCCGGAATGCCAACATAATTTTGCAGGTCTGCAGCACATTTTTTTTCAATGTCCAGCATATCGAATACAAAGACTGATACTTGTGTGTGAACTTGACCTCGTCTCCGAAGGTGTGCCCGTGTCACAAATTCTTCAGACACTGCTGTATACGGAGAAATATACCAATTACTTTATTTAAATTTATTACGGATACTGTGGAAAGTTTATAATACCTAAATAATACAAAGTGATTTAAAAACTGTGACAAACAATAACGGATTTTCAGTGTGCTTTTCAAATGAACTGTCATACATAGACAATGACAATTCGTTACGATAAGGCTCAAAAGGATTCGTAACTATTGTAATTACACTTTTTTCACATAACTTTAAAGTTTATGGGAAAAATTCAAAAAAACAAGTTTTTGGATTTTTATTCTTATCTTATACAAAAAACAATATTTTGTCACGAAATTTGGTGAACACTTACTTTTTTATGTTCCATCCTTAAAGCAGCCTCGGATTGGACTATAATGATGGACACGTATGAGAAACAATATAAAATCTCCGAGAATATTTAGGCGACGGCGCCAGACCAGATATATTTTCGTATTCGCGAATTTTAAAGTGATTTGAAAATTCGTAGTGATGATAGAGCTTACGGTTCCTTGGGAAACCAACATCCCCAAAGATCATACCATTAAGGTCAACAAATATTACGAGCTCACTAACGAACTCACTCGAAACAGGTTCGTCGTGGATTTGTACGCGGTAGAAGTGGGAGCGCGAGGTATAACAGCGAAATCTCTCTACAACCTACTAAAAGACTTGGGCTTGTCGAGCACTCACATTAACCCTTTAACGGTCATAAGGAGTGGACGATGGAAAAACAAAACTAATGATGGTTAAGGGTATATAATGGAAGTAAAAACATATTTATATATAAATACTAGCTATTGCCTCGACTTCGTCTGCGAGGAATAGTGACTTCCGGCAGATTTTTGGTTCTTCCCACATAGTTCCGGTTCTTGCGGGGTTTTCGGAACGGTCAAGTTCCCGTAGAATTTTCAGAATAATTTATTTGTTTATTTGAATAAAGATTAATATTATTATGTTGATACAACTTAAACAAATTATTTCGACCAAATTAGGTACCATAAAAACGGTTTTTGTGAGTTAATCTTAAAAGATAGACATATACTGTCGCGGACTGTTTTTTAGATCATTAAAAGAGCTATTATTCTTTAGTAAATATTTTTTGTGTATCTTGAACCGTTTTCACAGCGCACGCAACGGAAGGCTTCAAAGATGAAATAATTTCTCCCGTTTTTTACACATTTACCACTATAACTTTGCTCCTATTGGTCGTAGCGTGATGTTATATAGCCCACAGCCTTCCTCGATAACTGGACTATCCAACAGAAAAAGAATTATTCAATTCGAACCAGTAGTTTCGGAGATTAGCGCTTTCAAACAAACAAACAAACAAACAAACAAACAAACAAACAAACTCTTCAGCTTTATAATATTAGTATAGATATATTTGTCAAACCTTTCCTCGGTAGTCCAGACTTCCGAGACGCTGAAGACCGGAATAAGTGGAGGCGCATCGCGGGAGCTGTTTTATCCAAAGAAAGTGCAAGTCATCAACCACGACCACTCTGTCAAGAGTGAACGACTGAGAAGAGAAGAGATATATTTTTTCAGCTTATTTTGAATAAATATCGAAAGATCACCCTCATTTTCAATAAAAATTCACCCACCAAAATATATATTTTTTTTATTTACGTTGGTATGTTTTCTGTTCGTTAAAATCGCTTTTTTCCGATCGTGAAAATAAATATATAAGTTTCCTAATTGTTCCTTTTAATTAAATGAAACTTGATATTGTTTTGAAAATGATCTTTCAATTTATTTTTAATAGTTGAGAAGCCCGAAAGGTCTCCTGAAAATCCCTGTTTTATTTCATTTAGAGGAAATTGATACTGTTAATTATCAACGATATAATTAGGCTAGTTACCACTATTTTTATTATTTGATAGAACGGTTCATTACGATTATATTACACCAAAAAAAATTTTTTTGAAGCACTTATCCTAATATATTTATATATTTTAAATTTCAAAATATATTTTCGCTTTGCAGCAAAAAACGCCGTCCCTCATGATGGACTATTAATTATCTGTGCCGTGACGTGCTATTCTTGTAAACAATACAAGTGACTATATCGGAATTATCGGAATTCAAAACCATGGCTTCGAAAGGATAACATGATAAAATATAGTAAACATCACTATTGTATCGTGCGGGAATGTAAGAATACATCAATAAAGAACCCAGAGAAGTTGTGGATTAAAGTACCCAGTGGTGAAAATATGCGAAACACCTGATTACAACTAGCTAAAAGAGATACCGTAACTCCGTTCAGTGGAACTGCAGTGTATTTCTGTGAAGATCATTTTAATATAAGTTCAAGAAACTAACAGCAAATTACTTTTTCAGTTTAAACTATAATGTAATAATATATTTTCTTTCTAAATAAAGTTTCAGTTAGCAACTATGTGTAGTCAATTGCCCACGTATTAACATTGGTTCTGTTTTTATTTAAGCTTGAAAGTGATATGGAAAATTATATATACAATATAAAATCATGGATTCAGTTAAATGAATCAGAATGAAAACTAATTGTGTTCCAACTCGATTTAGTTGTCAAAAGGAGAGAAAACGCAAGCATTTGGTAACAAATGATTAGAATGTTGTCAAGAAAAGAGTATACTCCATTGAACAATCTTGTTTTCTTTTTACGTGAAATAAATAATTATCAAGGCGTATGAATAAAAGACCACGAATAACCTGAACTAGCGTTTGACATTATGTTGTTTACAATATTGTGACGTAGACACGGCCTACGGTGTTTTCAATCAAGAGAAAAAAAGTAAAAATATAACTGGTTTCAGTTGAATTTTTACAACAATCCTTTATTAATATTTATTGAAGTTTATATATTTCGGACCCTTGTACGGTATAATATTTAAATTGAAAGTTATTTTTATAAATGGTGACATGAGGCAACTTTCATATTAATGAGATAATTAATATTCTTACAGTCGTATTTTTTATTAGACGAAGCCAACTGACAATAGCTAATGTCACTTTTTTAAATAATGTTGCCATATTTAAAGTAATAGTGATGCGTTGAGTTTTCGTTCAATCAGATGAATGTAACTAGTTATTGTAATAGTTAGTTATTATATATACATTGTGACTGGTGAATTACTATCAATATTTAAGGAGGATACTCGGTACATGATTCTCATTCGAATTATGTAAAAAAAATAGGCACTTAATTTTTGACAAAATTTCCGTATAAATAAATAAAGTGTTGACACGTTCCAAGTGTTCCAAGTGTGGACGCGTGCGGCGGCGTGCTGATACAACACAACGCCGCCGCACTCGTATGTGTGAGTGTGGGTGTATACCTAATCTGTAGGGTGTTTACACGATGCGTAATTAATTACATAACTTTTGGTTAACTTTACTTAGAAGTTTATTAATATTTATGATATATTAATTTTTATTTTGTCATATATGATCGTCACAAATCACGTCCTCAAATATCGATAGTAATTCACCAGTCACCCTGTATATACATAATGGTTAAGAATATTATTTGTATTTTACAATAAAATTGTATAAAAGTGCACTGATATAAGTTATTAGTAGTATATAACTAGTCAGTTTTTTGAGTTTATTACAAAGCGCGACGCGGCGACTAGTAGCAACAATGGTTAAAGCTACTCTTATAGACATTGTACGGCAGCACAGAAAAGAACATTGCGACAGGTATGTGGCAATACAGCATGGGATAAATTTTCTTACGTCTGCCCCCATACTGTGAGCTCAATCCCATTGAATTGGTATCGGCGCAGGCTAAAGGTTATGTTGCAAGAAATAACAAAACCTTCAAAATGGCAGAATTAAAAAAACTTTTTGAAGAAGGACTTCAACATATCACGGCTGATAAATGGAGTAGCTGCGTTACTCATATAAGTAATTAAGGAAGAAGATAAAATGTATGGTCTCGATCACATGATCGACAATGTTTCAGAAAGATTTATAATTAATGTCACCGAAAGTGAGTGATGATTTGTTATCTGATTATGAATAAACACAAATTATGTATTCAGTGATTTTTTTTTATTTCATTGCCTATGCCGTTGTTATATTTCATACATCTATAGTTTCATAATGTTCTGAAAACAGGGTTTTAATCTTTAAAATACTCGGTATTCAGTATAGGTAGATAGTATAGGAACATAGTCGTCGAAAAATCGTTTGTAAGTTTTAACTAAGCACTATTGGAATTCGAAATTCATACCTAATATCGGCAAATTGGCACTTTAACTATTCACTAAACAATCATTTAAACCATTTATTTGCTACACACATACATTACATAGATTATACAGAAGAAAATAATTAAATTTAAAGAATACAGTGTAGGAGCAAGGGGTTCATCTTAGTGTAACCCCTGACTATTGGGTAAACAAACACAAATGCGCGCACACGAAAATAAATAAATGAAATTATAAGAACAAAAAACTAAAAAGCCCTTATCCTTGAGAAAAAAAAAACATATCACACAAAAAGAAAAACATCACAAGGAACTTAGACATAAGATAAACAGACCTAGACAAGGCATTAAAAATAAATATGATAAGTACTAAGTCTATGAAGTAGTATGACAAACTATATTTGAAGGTAGTTACTCTGACTTTTGCTTATTTAAAAATGTTAGCGTCAAATGTTTTTTTATTCATTTAAGAGTTTTTTCAATCATTCACTTTGTCACAACACTATTGTTTTTTCACTAAAAACTGACAACACAGTAAACAATAGATACGTCATGTTCGTGCCTCAATTCTAGAAGCTCATTGAGTTTATCTGTATTGGGTGGTTGGATTTATTATACTTGTATTTGTCCTAATCTATTGATTTTGGGATCCTATTAATAAATTGACTCATATACGCAACTAATTGGTGTTATCAATTCATAATATTAGAGAAAAGATATTGATTTTGACGCTCCATATCATACATATGAATGATATTTTTCGTAAATTTGACAGTTTTTTTTTGCTTCATGTATTAAAGATTACTTCAACATTATACTTATTTGCTTAAAACAAGGTACCTATGT